GCTAGAGAAAGGGTGAGCAGAACAAGCACTGTGAAGAGGCCTTTAGATGGAGCTTCAAGAGAACAAACTAATTGGGTGTGGGGCCTACTGGTAAGAGATTAGGGAAGAAAACGGGAAGTAAGAAATCAAGGGAGCAAAATGGATTTCTCTCTCTCAAGAAGTTCAGCACTGAAGGGAAGGCAGAATGGATGGTGAAGAGAAATGCAGGCTCAAGGGAAGTTATCTTAGAATTGGTAATGACCATTTTTAAGAATAAAACCTTAATTATCTAGAGCCCTCGGGGAAATGAGTTAGTTTCCCGGGTAACCATCTTTTTTCTAGGTGACCTAATGCTGTCTTTTAAAACACCAAAGCTAGTTCTGACCATTTTTACAGTACCCCAGGTCACTAGCAATAGCAATATCAAGGTGGTCTGTTGCCTTTAACTACAAGTGATACTCTTTCATGACGTAAATAGAATCGGTTAGAGATGATTTAACCTTGATCTCTCAACATTGCCCCCTAACCGCAGGATCTGGTTCACCTCTGTACTAGCCACAGGAGCTATCTTGAATTCTTTTGTTTTTTGACATCTTTGAATATCTTTCTTTTATTGTCAGCAATCTCTCTCATAATTTGCCATAATTTACTGTCTAGTCTGCTCATAAACTAAATTAAGGGTGTATTCAGCCCTGACAGATGAATCTACTCAGGATATTGACTCAGCCAAGTTTCTAAACTTGAAAGGCTAAGTCCAGACCTTGGCCAGTCACCAGGGTAATAAACATCACCCTGATATTTGTGGTAGCCTTTCCCTATGTGGTTATACAATATAATTGTATATAATTTAATATAAAACCCAGAGTAACCTGGGGTGAGCATTTGAGAAACGCTTTTTGAATATAGTAGTAAACTGCAGTACGTAAATTTAGGGACCTGTATTTGTCTCTTAACCAAAGACCTCTTTGGAGGCCTTTCTGCTTATTTACTGATCTCCACAAAAGAATCGTCAGAGTGCTAGCTAGCTGTATTTTCTCCTCAGGTGTAACAGATTTCTGCCTCTCTAAGCTGATAATTCCCTCCATACTGGTAGAAAAAAGGGTCTCTCCTTCACACCTAACACCTATTCTCCAGGAGAGAAAGCATGTCTTGTGTATTAACTAAAATGGCCTCTGTTTTGCCCCCTCTGTCTGCTACCTGGTCTGTACAAGTAGACTTGAGGTTCATAGACTAACAGTCCTGAGATCATTCTCTATAGACCTTGGTCTTAAACAATGCATCGATATGGCCAGATGTAGGTCTCTCTTAACATGAAAATTGGTAAATTCATAAAGGGTTTTAAATGAAGAAATGAAGAGTTTCTGGTGTTATAAATACTGTAACTCACCATTCTGAAAGCAAGGCAAAGACATTCCAAGTAGGGAAAGAACACTAGTGATATCAGCGTGGTCTGTTATTAAAGGCCCAGAGGCTGGCTTACTGGAGGCCCTCCTTACAGGGTGACATTTATTGTCTTGGTGATTTACCGGAGTCTGGCTTTTAGCTTTTCAGATTCAGAAACTAGTTTAATTAACATAGAACAGATTCATTATCAGAGCTGGGTCCACCCTAACCAAGCTTACAAGATTGATCTGCAAACCAAAATGCCAGTTGACATCTACACAGAAAAATATAACTGACTCATGTTCTTAAAGTATAAATGATTAGCTCATTCTTTCCTTGTGGGCAGGTCTGCACAGGGAGACAGATCATAAACAGGTTATTTGGCGAACATGACATCAGAATAAAGGTGAATCATGGTTAATGGCATGGACCAAGAGTAATCCATCCACAGTTCTACCAGGGAAACTAAATTTCTTTGAAGTCTGCCAGCTAAGGCTCTCTTTGCCCTGACTGATGTTTCGATAGACACCTGCCAATGTTTTGTGTCATGTTTTTTTCCTGCTTTGAGGCTAACCTAGGCCCACACACCCACCCAAATCACCTCCCACATGAGTTTTTCCCTAGATGTTAATATTTTCCATCAGCTTATACCACAGTTATTCTTTTGCTTAAGTTCACAGTTTAAAGCTCAACAGACAACCTTATTTTCAAATTTTGGGGGCATCTCTCACCACACTCACACTGGTCACGGGAGAGTGTAGCATAGAAAAGGGTGGGTGGGATAGGTGGAAACACTGTGCTTCCTCGCACAACTAAGTTTAAAGACAACAAAGTTTTAGTAACAAAAACGCAGCCAAAACACAGAAAATTGAACTGTAAGGAAGTCCGACAACAACAAACCGTTCAGCCAGACTGGTAAGAGGGGCGGAGTCAGTGGCTGGCGGAGCGGGGTCGCCCAGGAAAAATCGACCAGACTGACCCAGGAGCACAGGTGGCAGATGGCAGATCCCAGGCGTGGGGTGGCAATGGGCGGACCCAGTGAGGGTGCAAGGTGGCTGACTGACCACAGTCACATATTCACACGCAGATAAACTAGGCAGAGGAGCAAGCAGTGAGACAGACCACGCAGACTAGGGCCCCAGCGACAGGAAATACAGCCTAAAAGCACCAACTGGAAAAACTTTCGGGGTCGAGGTGCTGGGAGAAGCCCCCAGCTCACAGAGAGTTTGTTGGAGAGACCCACAGGGTCCTGGAGGGTGCACAGGCCCACACACATGGGAGTCGGCACCGGGGGGGCCCAGTTTGCGGGAAGGAACAGAGGAGACCAAAATTCAAGAGAGAGTGGAACAAACGCCCTTGCCCCTCTCTGACCCCGCCCCTACATACTGGGTCACCCCACCCTGGTGAACTCCTAAGGCTCGCTCTGCCCCTCATACATAACAGGCTCAAATAGACCAAAAGATTATGGTTCAAGAACAGCTCAAAGCCCCAGAGCCAATAATTCTAAGCGATGAAGAAATAGCCAACCTATCAGATGCACAGTTCAAAACACTGGTGACCAGGATGCTCACAGATCTGGTGGATTTTAGTCACAAATTAGAGGAACATATGAAGGCGAAACTAATTGGAAAGGAAGGGAAATGCACAGGAAACCAACAGTGATGGAAAGGAAACTGGGACTCAAATCAAGGGAGTGGACCAGAAGGAAGAAAAAAATGATCAAACAGAAAAAAAATGAAGAAACAAGAATTCAAAAAAAATGAGCAGAGGCTTAGGAACCTCCAGGACATCTTTAAACGTTCCAACATCCGAATTATAGGAGTACCAGAAGAGGAAGAAGAAGAACAACAAGTGGAAAACTTATTTGAACAAATAATGAAGGAGAACTTCCCCAATCTGGCAAAGGAAAGAGACTTCCAGGAAATCCAGGAAGCTCAGAGAGTCCCAAAGAAGTTGGACCCAAGAAGGAACATACCAAGGCACATCATAATTACATTAGCCAAGATTAAAATGAAGGAGCGAATCCTAGAAGCAGCAAGAGATAAGGGGACAGTCACCTACAAAGGAGTTCCCATCAGACTGTCAGCTGATTTCTCAAAAGAGACCTTGAAGGCAAGAAGGGGCTGGAAAGAAGTATTTCAAGTTATGAAATCCAAAGACCTACAACCAAGATTGCTCTATCCAGCAAAACTTTCATTTAGAATGGAAGGGCAGATAAAGTACTTGTCAGATAAGGTCAAGTTGAAGGAGTTCATCATCACCAAGCCCTTATTATATGAAATATTAAAGGGACTTATCTAAGAAAATGAAGATAAAAATATGAACAGTGAAAGGACAGCAAACTCAGTTATTAAGAACCACACCTAAAACAAAAGCAAACTAAGAGGACAGCTAGATCAGGAGCAGAACCACAGAAATGGAGATCACATGAAGGGTTAGCAACAAGGGAGTGGGAAGAGGAGAAGCTGGAAGAAAGTACAGGGAATAAGTAGCACTGATGGTAGGTAGAAAATAGGGGGCAGGGCAAGAATAGTAGGGGAAATATAGAATCTAAAGAACTTGAGACACATGGACATAAACTGAAGGGGGGGGGAATGGTGGGGAAGGGGTGTGCAGGGTATAGGGAAATGAAAGGGGGGAATAGGACAACTGTAATGGCATAATCAATAAAATATATTTTAAAAAAAGGGTGGGTGGGACAGCTCACCGCACCAGGGTTTATCAGTAGTTTACCAATAAAACCGTTTGCATTTTTACTATATTCATATGCTACATGTATATCATTAATATCTTTCTTTAAATCATCTCACTTTTTAAAAATATTTATTTATTTAAATCTTTATTGGATTTTTCCCATTATCATTGATTCCCCCATAATCACCACAATCTTGTCTGTGTCCATTAGTCCTTTTTCCTTTTGGCTTGATCCCTTCACCCCCTAACCTCCCACACCCCTAGTTATTTGTTCTGCATTATGATTCTGCCTCTGCTTTGCTTATTAGTTCATTGGATTTTATTTATTTAAATCCTCACCGGAGGATATGTTTATTGATTTTAGAGAGCGAGAGAAACATCGTTATGAAAGAGAAGCATTGATCAGTTGCCTCAGGATTGAATCCACAACCTAGGCATGTGCCCTGACCAGGGACCGAACCCAAACCTCTTGGTGTATGGGATGACACTCCAACCAATTGAGCCACCAGCCAGGGTAAAAACAAATCTATTTTAAAAAGTGGTTTACCATAAATAGAAAATCACTATCCTTTTTCCGGAAAATAAAAGCTCTTAATTATTTTTCCCATGTACTGTTTTAGCTAGACACTATCTGCCATGAAAAACCTGGAACCTGAACAGATCCATGCTAATACACTAGCATCAAAACCTCAAAAGAGGACTGAGCAGCGGAAACATTTACGAGGTTGTTTAATGTACCCTGTGTCTTGTCCATCTCTATCTAAACAACAATTTACATTAGGCATCCCACATGTGGGAAGAAAAAGACCTAGGCTTTTTGAGACTTCAAGCATATTTGAAAAGTGGTTAGATAGCTGTAGTGATGCCTGCTGTCTAGCCTCGCCCGACCCCAGACGCTTCCTGGTGCTGCACTGACTGTCTCCTTCCTGCTTCTCCCTGCACAGGTACACACTGGCCGCTCAGGACCTGGTGATGCGTGCCCGTGGCGTCCTAAAGGACAGAGGATGGCGGATATCTAATGACCGACTGGGCTCAGGAGACGACATTTCCGTATACGTCATTCCTTTAATACATGGGAACAAACTATCATGAAAACGACTCAGGGGACCGGAAGATCAGAAGGAAGGAAGCCGGATGCCTCTTAGCAGGGCAGGGCTGGGAAGTGCCCCGGAGTAGTTCCACGTGATGCCACCTCTTCCCAGCCCAGACGGGGAGTTTGTTCCTGAGAGGCCTCCGGCTGTGCTCCAAGAGGATCCTTAGGCTTCAGTTTCCTCTTTAGTAACAGGTTTGGATGCTCAGCACAGGCAAAACATAAAGGCTGCTGCTGAGTATTGTTTCCTCTGGTTCCTTTATCAGGCCTCCTAGGTGGCCATTGCCTGTTTTGTGCACACACGTCATATTTATTTATCTGGAGTGCCAGGGCGGCCACTTTCAGGTGTAACTGGCAGGAGACGCTTCAGCCAGTCAAGCTGCCCATTTCTCTACGGGTTAAAAGTGCTGCGTTGAAAGTTGGGGACCACGCCTCAGAGAGTGTGAAGGTCCATCTTCTAGTCAGCCTGAGGTTTATTTCAGGGAATGCTATCTGTGTGTGTCTCTGTCAGTCTCTCTCTAGTCTTTCATGGTAATAATGATGGGGTGAGGCAGGGACTTTTGTCTTTTAAGTCCTTGAATCTTAACTGTCCCATAGAACAGGCCTGGGACTTTCCGACTCCTTGCCGAGGAATTTGTGTGTCAAAGTCCAAGCCCGGCTGTCGCCACGTCCTGTGGCCGGCACCACCCAGGCGGCCCTCTGGAGCGCTGCCCTGGCCCACAGAGAGCTGTCTGTTGTGTAATGATTTGTTCCTGAGTTGAATTTTCTCACTAAATCAGTGTTTTCGTGAAATCTGGGGTATTTCTTTGGACCAGCAGTTCCTCTGTTGTCTTCCAGGGAGCCCCTGGTGTGGCTTGAGGTTTCTACTTGTTTCTGAATCTGAGTTTTCATTTCTGGGATTGATTGCTTCCAACTCCCAACCCATCCCCCACTGTGCCATGAGGACACATGTGAAGCAGTGTTTAACAGACGTGTAGGGAGTCCCTGTAGCAGTCAGTTCACCAGACCTCATTTCAGGGCCGGTTCTCTGTTTTGGGGTCCAGGTTCCATGGGCCGCAGCAGTCCCCAAGCCCACTCCAAACAATGTATAACGATCAGATTCTGTCAGGGAACAGCAGGCCTACTCTCCCCGTCATCTTTGGACAAGGCTCACCCAGACTGAGTTGGATAACACAGAATTGAAATTGGGTTGACTGGTCATTCTCATGCTGTACACCTGCTCTTTCTGCACAGAATCACGTTCCAGCCACCCAACCACTGAGACCCCTATTCCCACTGTCACACGCCTCTAAATGTTCCTCACGGAGCATCAGCCAAAGCAGTGGACAGATCTGCCTGCTGCTTCTGTCCCAGGAGGGATGGTCAAATAGATTTTTAGAAACCGCATCTATCTCTGAGACTGCTTCTCTGAACTGAGGGACCTTGTAAAGAAATACCCAATTACTGAGTCTTCTCAGAGAGCTCCTGCAGTATGCTGACCATCTTGACAACTTTTTGTAATTAAAACGTTCAGTAGAGAAAAAGTCATTGGTGCGACTCCCCCAAAACGTTGGAGAGCCAATTCCAGTTCTCATGTTTGATTGAATCCCTTCCCCACAGGACAGGACAGGACAAGACAGGACCAGACCCTTTCCTCTGGGATCATTAATCAATCACCGGCGTTCCTGGAATTACAGAGTTTTCTGAGGAATGGCCTGGGGCTTTCCCAGTCTGTGTCCATCCCACAGGATGGAACCAGTGCCCAGTCTGTCAGGGAAGTACAGAGGGAATTCACGCACCAGGTGGTTGCCAAAATATTGCCTGGAAAGAACTGGACTACAGCTTTGTCAGGAGTCCTCTTCATGTCACAGCTTCCCTTGTCCCCCAGGAAATCTTAGCTATGCTAAACACGTCTGTGGGGAGGAGGCTGTGGCAAACAGCTTCTCTGGCAGAATATTACACTATGGAAAACATGCAGGCACCCTACAGCGGTGTGGTCCATTTCTGTTCCTGCCTGACTCGCAACGCCGCATACAAACTGGAAACCTGAGCTTTTCCTCGGAGGACTCAGAGCCACCAGCATTAGGAAGCAGTAACTTCTTCCCCACATTTCCATTGCCTTTTGTTTTTTCCTCTCCTAGGCTTTTATGTAGGCTCTGTCTTGAGTTTCTCCAGTTTTAGTTGAGCCGTGAGAGTTAGGTATAGATGTATAGATGTCGTAACACCTTCTACCAAGGCACCTTCTCTCAGGAAAAACTCTGGAACCCCCTTATTCAATTCATCTTAAAGTCTTGAGCATTTGGTCCTTTGGTTTTATTTAGAAAGGCACTTTGGAATTCTTTTCATAGCCCCCTTGGGTGGAAAGATGTCAGTAGCAAGCTGAAGCCTTGATTCTGTTTGGGGGATGGGAGGCAAACCACAAATGAGGTGAGTAAATCATATGTGGGGAAAATGATTTGTTAATACTCAGAAAATCTGCCCAGTACTGATATTGCTCTGTGAATTGAGCTTACTAGGTTTCGGCTTTGTTTTTCTGAGGCTCCTTTTCATCCCATCCTGGAGCCGTAACTGTGTCTATATAACAGGTAGGCCCCTGGAGCGTTTCTGGAAAGGTCAAAAGGCAACACGCTCAAAATTCTGCAGAACATATTTATATGTGGTTCTGAAATCTTGTGTATCTGAGTTATAGCCACATCTGTTTGCCTTCATAGCCTCAGAGGAAGTCTCATTTAATAAAAAGTGTTCGATTTCCTAGTCAGGTCTTTATGGTTGTCTTGGGGTATGTGCAAGCCACTTCGTTTAATGAAAGACTCTCTCACTTCTAAATCTCGCTGGGCTGGCCACTGCCCTTTAGAATAGTTGCTGATACTCTCTCACTTAAACAGAGCAAACTTCCACCCTATCCACACTACAGCATTTTCCCCGGTAGCAACCAAGCCTTTGTGGTCAGAACACCTGAACTCAGAGCAGTGCCACCCGTCAGAGATGACATGGAGATGTTCTCTGGGGTTGTGCTTACATAGCTGCTGTTCTTGGGGCAAAAAGGGAGGGCTGGGAATCAGGTGAGGCCAGGTACTCAGCTGGCTAACAGGATGGAGCCAAAAACAGTAGGGGTTTCAGTTCTCCACATTATTCCACTTTGGGAAATTGAGGGTGTTTAACTTTTAAATCTCCAGCAACTTATCTCCTTGGGGCTGCATGAAGTTATTAAGTGTGCTTGCTCTCTTCTCACTCATCTCATCATTCATTTACTTTTTGGGAGACCTGTTGGTGGGCAAGGATGAGAGTCCCAGGACCCAGATTTGGCCTCAGACCTTGGCCATACAGGTAGGGTTTTTGGTTTACCAACAGGACTAGCATGGAAACAGAGAAACCACCCACATCTTTAAAATGCTGATTCTCCTCTTGCTCTCACCTCTGTTCTCATCCGCTGATCAACTTGATTTACAAGACCACGAGGGGTCAGTGGTTTTCTTTCCACCACAGTTTGAGGATCTAACCTTCCTTAAATGACCCAGTGGCAGCAGCGCCACTCTTTTCAGAGTGAATCTGTTAAGTTTTTATGAGATTCTATTTTAAGTAAGTTAGTGCTTCTGGGACACTTGGAGAAAGCAGTGAGAGTAACTGTCTATGCAAAGAACAACCAGGCTGACCCAAAAAGTTACCAGATCTAAGAAAAAAGTAAAAATCATCTGTTAGGAACTTGGGTTTTTGGAGGAATTACGGTTGCAGTTTCGCAGCCTGCACACCATGGCCACCTTGCTGAGGAAATTGTAGTTCTGTGTGGGTGACCGAGTCTGCACTGGGTTTTTCAGAAGACACCACCCGATCTGCCTGATTTGCCTCCTACCTGAGCGCTGCTGGCAGCTCTGTCAGATCTGGGTGCCAGTCTGGGGAGTACTGCACTTTCTATTCTGTGACTTCATCTGTGTAAATAGCTTTAATTTTTCCTTTGTGTCTTAAAGTTTTGTTCATGTAGAGACCAGGCAGACATCCACCAAACGAAGCTGTGTATGTGGTGTCGTTTTCTACTGTGGTGTACTTGAACGAGAACCTCGTGCCCTCCGTTCTTCTGATCTCCCATAGTACTTTGTGTCTGGGAGTCCTGAGGTTACTCCTTTTCTCCTGTTTTGCCTCCATTTTCCTGGTCTCTTCTGAAGGCCCAGGGAGGCTCACAGTGGAGATCTTGTGTAACGGATGTATGATAAGGTCTGGGTTTCCAGAAAAATCCCATGTGCAGTGAATGAGAGGAATCTGCCTGCAAATGGCTTCAGAACCATGGACCTTTACACTTCGTGATTGTGAAACCTGGACTTTGTAGCCCCAAAGTGAAAACTGTTTAGTAATGGGGATCTATTTTGTGTGTTTCGAAACTTAGGTGCAGTGTTCCCTGGAAAAAGCTAAAGAAATGTACATGCTTAATGACATTTTAAAATAAAATATTATATATATATGTATATAGAACCCCTTCAGCAAAGCTTTTTTGTGTCATTTCTTTAATTCACTATGAAATGTCTTCACATTAGGTCACGGGATGATGTGAGAGTGTCCTGGCCTAGTGTGGCGTTGCCAACTGTAAACAGACCCAAAAGCTAATCAAAAAGGGATGGATGGCACCGATGGTAACCTTCACAGGAATAGCAGTAAAGCCTACACATTTCAACAGTGCCGTTAGAAGAACGGCTATGGATACTACTCCAAGGGGTATTCTTTTTTATATTACCGAGTATAATTGACATACATTATTATATTAGTCTCAGGTATACGGCTTAATGATTTGATACTTGTAATGTCACCACAGTAAGTCCAGTTACTATCTATCACCATACAGAGTTACAGGATTTTTCCCCTCACGATGAGAACTTTATGAAGTTCTGCCCTCTTAGCAACATTCAGGTATGCAACACAGTTTTTGGTATCGCTAACTGTATATCAAACTACAATCACCATGCTGGACGTTGTATCCCCATGACTGACTTATTTTGTAAGTGGAAGTTTGTACTTTTTGACTTACTCAGTTTGCCCATCCCCCACCCCACCTCTGATAACTACCAGTCTACTCTCTGTGTTTGAGGGGGTTTTTTTACATATTTTTTTAATATTCCATAGCTAAGTGAGATCATATGGTATTTGTCTTTCTGTCTCATTTCACTTAGCATAGTGCCCTCAGGCCCATCCGTGTTATTACGAATAGCAGTATTTTATTCTTTTTTATGACTAAATAATAGAGGAACCTGGGGTTCCTGTGTGTGTGTGACTATATGCCATATTTTCTTTATCCATTCATCTGTCAATGAACATGTAGATTGTTTTCATATCTTGGTTATTATAAATAATGCTGCAGTGAACACAGGATGCATATCTTTTTGAGTCAGTGTTTCATTTTGTTTGGATAAATGTCTACAAGTAGGATTGCTAGATCGTATGGTAGTTCTGTTGTTAACTTTTCTGAGGCATCTCCATACTGTTTTCCCTGGTGGCTGCGCCATTTATATGTCCACCAGCAATGCACAAGTGTTCCTTTTTCTCCACATCTTTGTCAACACTTGTTACTTCTTGTCTTTTTGATAAGTCAGTGTAACAAGTATGAGGTGATATCTCACTGTAGTTTTGGTTCACATTTCCCTGCTGATTAGTGACGCTGAGTATCTTCATGTGCCTCTTGGCCATCGGTATGTCTTCTTTGGGAAAATGTCTTTTCTGATCCTCTGCCCATTTTTTCAATTGGATTGTTTGTTTTTATTGACTTGTATGAGTTATTTATATATTTTGGATTTTAACCCCTTATCATATACATGATTTGTAAATATTTTTTCACTCAGTAGATTCTTGTTTCATTTCCCTTTGTTGTGAAGAAACTTTCTCATTCAGTGTATTCCCATGTGTTTATTTTTGCCTTTGTTGCCAAGACTGATGTCAGGGGGCTTGCCAATGATTTTTCTTCTAGGAGTTTGATGGTTTCGGGTCTTTTTTTTTTTCAAGTCTTCATTATTATTTGAGATTTTTCTTGTTTCCCGAGGTAGGTATTTATCACTATGAATTGCCCTCTTAGAACTGCTTTTGCTGCATCACGTATTTTGTATGTTGTATTTCCATTTTCATTTGTAACAAGGTATTTGATATCTCTTTTGATCTCTTCATTGCCCCATTGTTTATGGAAATAGCATGTTAATATCTACATATTTGTGAATTTTCCAGTTTTTCTGTTATAACTGATGTCTAGTTTTATACCCTTGTGATCAGAAAATATCCTTGATATGATTTTAAATTTTCTTAAATTTGTTTTGTGGCCTAATAGGTGATCTGTCATGGAAAATGTTCCACTTGAGAAAAAGGTATACTCTATTGTTCTGAGATGGAATGTTCTGGATATACCTGTTAATTCCATTTGGTCGAAATGTGTCTTTTAAGGCCAATGTTTCATTGTATTTTTCTTTCTTGATGGTCTGTCCATTGATGTAAGTAGGATATTAAAGTTCACTACTGTTATGTTATCTATTGTTCCCTTTAGGTCTGTTAATATTTGTTTTACATATTTAGGTGTCCCTATGTTTGGTGCATAAATATTTGCAAATGTATACCCTCTTATTGGACTGACCCCTTATCCTAATAGGTATTAAGTGAGACAACTTCTGACCAAATATCCTTGCTGAAGACAGAAAGAGTAAAGACTCTCCTTAGTCACTTAAACATTTTAAATACTACAAAGCATTAGTAAAATGTACCCTCTTATAGAATAACCTTACCAGGGGAGGTAAGACATCAAAGAATATTAATTCTACTTAGTTACAGAGTTCAGGAAGTTAAAAGTAATCTAGAAAATATCAATACGGCCCTGGCTGGTGTAGCTCAGTGGATTGAGTGCTGGCCTGTAAATCAAAAGGTCGCTGGTTTGATTCCCAGTCAGGGCACATGCCTGGGTTGAGGGTCAGGTCGCCAGTTGGGGGTGTGTAGGAGGCAACCAACCGATTGATGTGTCACACGTCAATATTTCTCTCCCTCTCTTTCTACCTTCCCCTGTCTCTCAAATAAATTAAAAAATCTTTTTTTTTTTTTAAGAAAAATATCCATACAATGTTTAAAATAAAGTACTGCTTCACAAAGAAAGCTAAAAGTTAGCTATAGCTTATTGGAAGTTTGGTTCAAAAGAGCTGACTAGGTATACAATACTCATATTAAGAATGATTTTTGTTGTAAAACCTTCCCAGCTCTTTGCACTTTCACTTGCACCCTAATGCCCCCTGCCCCCATCCAGCAGTACAAACTCAGGAAAAGGATCAATCCTTGGATTGGATTCCTGAAGATTAGAGGAGTCTTCTAGCATTCTTTTGTGGGCAGTGCTTAGCTTATCAGGCTAGCCCTTGAGAGCTGTGGTACACTGTCTCCAAAGGTGACTGCCAGTAGTGCTTCCTGTGCCTGTGCCCCAACGCTCCTTTTCCCATCGAGAAGTGGCATGTTTCCCCGCCTCTTTAATGTGGTTTGGCCTGTGACTTGCTTTGATTAATAGAATGCAGAAGTGACATTCTGAGAATTCCAAGCTTAGATCTCTGGAGGCCTATAGCACCTGCTTTCACTCTTGGAAGCCGGCCACCCTGCAAATGTCAGACTAGATTACCAAGTGATGATAGGCCACTGGTAACCAAAGTGCCCAGACCTTGGGACTGAGGCCATCTTTGATCTCCAGCCCCACTTGAGACACTCCAGGTGGTACCACAAGAAAGAAGACCTGCCACCTCTCCACTGTTCAGGCCATTCCAGCTGAGGCCACAGGCAGCGCAGGTTGGAGGGGAGCCATCCACATGGAGCCCTGCCCAAATTCTGGCCAGACCCACAGAAACATGAACAAATAAAATATTCTTTTGTTTTAACATCTGCATAATTTATTACCCAATAAATTACTGAGCAATAGATTACTGAACAATAGATTACTGAGACAGAGAATCTGGCTCTGGAGAATTTGGGGTAAAGTGGTTAAAAATATAAACTAAAAAGAAATGGCACTGAGAGAGCACACTGTAACTTGGGAAATCGTCCTCCATATGGCACCTGGTAGAGTGGCTGAAGTGGGGAGAAGCAACTTAAAATAGCAGTAATGCAGAGACTTTCACTGGTGGCTGTGTTGGTGCTTCAGCAAGAGCTCTCCTCCACACCTAGGCTTTTGCTTCTTCATGGCGGCTACACTGATCATTAGTGGGTCAGGAGAGTGACAGCCTCTGAGGCCATGAGCCATGAAGGGGGAAAGAGAGGCCTTTAACCTCTCACTTAAGATGAGACTAGCCTGTGTGTATGCACCATTTATGATCTTTGGGAGAGTCTAGTGGTTCTTTGGTTCTCAAGACGATTGCTTGAAATGTTAGGTTATAGCTCAGGGAAAACAAGACAATTTTTAAATTGTGAATATTTGCATGTGTCTTGTTTAAAAATTCTCATCATTTAAAAATCTCCATCTATGAAATTCTTCAAACTTGTTGCCACCCCAGTTTTTGTCTTCAATTAAATGACAGGCCAAAGAGTGGATTATATATTGTAGCAATTAGTCTTTTTCATTGCTTTTTCTATAATTAGAGCTTTGTAAAGACTGTTGATCTCCATATATCTTTACATTTCTAGTCTCTTTTACCTCTGACGAGATTTTCTAGCCAGCTAACCTCCTCTGCTTTATTGATTCCGGGTGTGACCAAACATGAGGTGTGGGCAGGGCATACCCTGATTGTCCTCCAGGACCCAGGTCTGAGGGGACTGCTGGTCCGAAGGTCAGAATACAGTCCTGGGACTTCTGCGAAGATGGAGGCGTAGGTGGAAACATTCTACCTTCTCTCACAACCAAGTTTAAAAACAACAAAGTTTTAGCAACAAAAATGCAGCCAAACCACAGAAAATTGAACTATACGGAAGTCTGACAACAACGAACCCTCAGCCAAACTGATAAGAGGGGCAGAGCCAGCAGCAGAGCAGGGTCGGGCAGGAAAGATCCACTGGACAGACCAGGCACGTGACCCAGGCGGGCAGGCAGTGGGCGGATCCCAGGAGTGGAATAGCAGCGGGCAGACCCACTGAGGGCGCAAGGCAGCAGGCTGACAGCAGTCACACATTTGCACCCAGATAACCAGTGAAGGAGCGAGCAGTGAGACTGAGACAGACCGTTAAGGCCCCAGCAGCGGGAAGCAACAGAGGGGACCGCTATTGTCCCTCTCTGACCATGCCCCCACATACAGCATCACAAACCAGCAACCTGGGTAGCCCTGCCATGGTGAACACCTAAGGCTCCGCTCCTCATACCTAACAGGAACGAACAGAGCAAAACATTATGGCTCAAGAAGAACAGAGCCCCAGAGCCAATAACTCTAAGCGATGAAGAAATAGTCAAACTCTCAGATGCACAGTTCAAAACACTGGTGATCAGGATGCTCACAGATCTGGTGGATTTTAGTCACAAATTAGAGGAACATATGAAGGCTAAACTAATTGAAATGAAGGGAAATGCACAGGAAACCAATAGTAATGGAAAAAAAACTGGGACTCAAATCGAGGGAGTGGACCAGAAGGAAGAAAAAATAACCAAACAGAAAAGGATGAAGAAACAAGAATTAAAAAAAATCAGAAGAAGCTTAGGAACCTCCAGGACATTTTTAAACACTCCAACATCTGAATTATAGGGGTACCAGAAGGGGAAGAGCAACAGCCATGATTGGAAAATTTATTTGAACAAATAATGAAGGAGAACTTCCCCAATCTGGCAAAGGAAAGAGACTTCCAGGAAATCCAGGAAGCTCAGAGAGTCCCAAAGAAGTTGGACCCAAGAAGGAACACACCATAATTACATTAGCCAAGATTAAAATGAAGGAGAGAATCCTAGAAGCAGCAAGAGATAAGGGGACAGTCACCTACGAAGGAGTTCCCATCAGACTGTCAGCTGATTTCTCAAAAGAGACCTTACAGGCAAGAAGGGGCTGGAAAGAAGTATTCCAAGTCATGAAATCCAAAGACCTACATCCAAGATTGCTCTATCCAGCAAAGCTTTCATTTAGAATGGAAGGGCAGATAAAGTGCTTCTCAGATAAGGTCAAGTTGAAGGAGCTTATCATCACCAAGCCCTTATTATATGAAATATTAATGGGACTTACCTAAGAAAAACAAGATAAAAAAGATGAACAGTGAAAGGACAGCAAACTCACAGTTATTAAGAACCACACCTAAAACAAAAGCAAACTAAGAGGACAGCTAGATCAGGAGCAGAACCATAGAAATGA